GCCGTTACGGCCAACTCACACTGTCAGACTGCCCCGATATGTATGTTTGCACATCGTTTGGTACTTACTTCTTGTTGCCGCTGTAGAAATCCGTGCTGTGACAGCGACTACTTCCTGCAGATTGCGCCATTGTTGATTGTACGTTTTCTTAGTTCATGATGCTTACTTATCCGTTTTTCTGTAGAACCAGTTCTTTTCGGTCTTCAATATATCGTCTGCTGCCCCACGTCTGTCTGCTCCTATTGACTACTGGCTACGAACTGCTTATAATCTAATAGTCGCAATCGTCCTGTGAGATCCTTAACCGTCCGTATCTTACAGCGAGCCCAACACCAGCAGCAACAAACAGAAGTCAGCAGTACTTTTTTGATTTCCTGAATTTAAAGGCCAGATTCAGAACCACCGTCGATGGGCGATGCACCCGTGCTACTGGAGGGGTGGCGGGTATACGAACGCACCATGATGCAAGGTAACAGGGCGACCCTCCCTGTAGGGCGTACCCGTCCACCACACGACGTTTTTCCCCCTCGTGCACGCCACCAGACCTGCAAGGTGGAAAACCATCCAAGCAGTCATAAGTGCGGTTTGTGCATTAGTAAATACTCCAGCTACCATTGCTTTTGGTGGGGGAAAGCAAGGCCAGTAAAGACAGCTCACTCAATCCGAACAAGCAGCAGCATACAGACGCTGCTGAAGGCAAGTCGCAAAAGAGAAGTGGAATGACAGTTGTCAATGAGTCGGTGGGACTGAAATGTTGATACTCACGGCGATTGCACCTTGGATAAACGGCGTCGGAGCGTTGGTGTGGGCTGCCGCGTCGAGCAGAAGCGTTCCGCGATATTGTGCGTGGGAGTGTTTAGTGGAACAAATCATCAAATGGATATATATAAGCGCAGAACGTGCTCTGATAATGAAATGAAGAAATAAATCGACTTTGGTTTGGTTTTTATCAGTTAGAGTTAGACTGAAAGCACCAGTTACTAGACAGAGCTGATGGAGCAATCCGGGGTAGGAACTCGACTAGGACGAGGCATAAGTTGATTGGGTAGGGGAAATCAACCGGGCCAGTAACACAGCGTAATTAGAATTAGTAGGTGATTAAGCCGTGAGGTGATTTGAGGAAGAAATAGCTAATTTTGGTTTGGTTTTTGCCAGTAGAGTTTGGAGGAGAACAATAGACGCTAGGTGGAGTTTACGGAGTAGTACGGTGTAGGAACTAGACTAGTAAGAGGTGTAAGTTGGTACTTGGTCACCCGGTGGGTTCCCAAAAAACTTAAAGACGTGTGAGCTAAGGGATACTTTGCATCAAGGCTGGCTGATGCGTGCGGCGGACTCGGAGGACTCGAGCTACGCAATAGTTCTGGCCGAAGTTCACTGGGAAACTGTACAGTTTGCCATTCTTCCCTAGCGTTCTTTTCATATTCACTCTCAACAGTAAAAAAATACTAGCGTCAACTAACCTTATTTTTTTAAGACGAAAGGAGGCTGTTGTACCTGTGCGGAAGACAAACGTTTCAGCCTGTTGCATTAACTGGGAACGCATTTAAGGGTCCTGAAGAACACATCTCTCAGCTCGGCCAAAAAAATTTACGCAATACTTGATCACTCAGAAGAAACTCAATTTTTGCCTCGGAAAGAGCAGTTTTTACGACGGCCTACAAACTTGTCAACGCTGATCAACCAACGGCTGAAGACACGTTATACTGTGAAACATAGTGAAACGCATTCTGAGGCCCACCGTAAGTCGCCACATCATCACAAAATTGATGGCCACGGAGCAACAAAGATACCTCCCCAACCGTTCTTGTGAGACGCCCATGACTGGCTTCATGAGCACTCAAGCACGAACAGCAGCGAAGGGCTCATATGCTGGGGCTTTTCATTCGATTCAGCTAGCTTGTTTGATCGAGTTTCAAATGTTCTATTGCTCCGCAGACTAGGGGCTGGGCTTCAGCGGGGAGTTCTATCATGAAATATGGCCTTTCTTTCATGACGTTCCTTGTGAAATTAACATCAACCAACACTTTTGCTGCACTAGGTTTCATCCCCGTTTTTTAGAGGTGCGCCCAGCTTGTAGTCTTATTTTTAATCCTTTCTAAGAACCGTTTTGATGCGCTCTTAAGCACATGTTTACCTTTGTGGTCAACTTGAAATCTTGAGGTGTTATCGCCGATATACTTTAAATGGGCGCAAAAGTGTGGCCACTGAAGTAACGCTTTTCTGCGGATGAAGTGAAACAAGTCCATGTTGTTCGGAGGAGACTGCACGAGCGCATTTGTCGCGCATGCCGATAATCAACCAAAAGGTATTGACGAGCTAGGTGTCTGGTGGAACGTATATGTCCGGCTAACTTCAAGTACGTCCTCACTCCACTAAGGAGGACCGACCTGAAGGGCACCCGTTGTCCTTCGGACGATTTAACACACCTTCCCCCTTAAGGAGATTTCAGAACATCCAATAGATCGCTGACCAGACCATTCTCTGAACATGCTGACCAAGTTTCCTGCTCGGGAAGCAACGGGGACGTAACCCATATTGAATGTGTCCAGCATGGTGTTATGATGGTGGTAACCGGTTTCATAATCGTTGTCTATGAACATGTTGTGAGACGACCGATGCTCAGTGCCTTCTCTTTGTCGGTCCAAGGACCGGGCGAATACTTGCTCTAGTTTATGGCAAGCGTGGCTGTTAGTTTGTTTATTATTGAGCCCATTAGTACATGAAGGGTAAATAATGAGGTTTTCACGGTTATAGAGCTTTTTTGTCACGCAACACTTTTCCTCACTACGGACTGCTGGCTCGCGGAACGGCCATCATTCATCAGTCGTCTACGCCGAACCTGGAACCCAGTTCATTCGATTTTTGGCATAACGCTGGCAAGATTACTATCCAAAGCTGGCAACTTCCAGAGCAATGTCGCGCCGTTTTTCGCTTATGCTTTTCAGGTGACACAAAGCGGCTTAATTACGGAAGCAAAGCTACCATGAGAAACTTGGGCAAATGTCGAATATGCTTTACAAACAGCGAACCGTGAAACAGCTTTTCGGGCTCACAAGCACCGGTGGGCCTGTATCACGGATTCACGGATTGATCCACAGGATTGAGGCTGTAGCGTGGGATGTCAGGAAGTCAGCGGTATTCGACGTTCGAGAGGACGGCACACGTCAGTTCTGAAATGTGCAGAAATACGGGCTGGTATTCATGAATCCACACAGTATACACAGTACACATGCGCACAGGTCGGGTGGAACAAGGAAGAAGACCGGAGTGTAGCAACAACGCACGTGTATTAACCCGAACCGAAACCGGAAGGAGAGAGAGTACAATCAAAGGGGGGGCCGGTCAAGGTCAGTCAAGGGGGTGTGCAGGCGGGATACTCTTCCCTGTCCAGGGCCCGTGGTGACTCGTCCATGGTACCTGCAATAGGGGAAGAGAGGAAGGGAGAGGCACTCGTAATGTCATATGATAGGCGTAC